TCACACACACACACACACACAAGAAAAATCAAGATGGCGTGTTTTTGTTCATCATCTTCATGTTGGAGGCAACTGTGGTTTTTGGGGCCGCTGCTGGCGGCGGCGGTGGTGGTTTTTGTCCGGCCGCCGGCGCCGATTTTTTCTTACAAAAGTGGCCGTGATCATTACTTGCAAGAGTACATGCGTACGATATTTTTTAATGGGTTTCTACTGAAAAATGAAAGTAACAAATTTGGAGTGAAGAATATCGAACAAGTAAGTTCTCTCTCACATTTTTTTTTAAATGATTGTGTTATTTTTTTTTTTAAATATTTGGATGATTTAAAGCACAAATTATTGTGAGGCAGAGAAATGCTTTGTGAATAAAAATATACAGGGGCGAAGCCATAAATTTTAGTTGAGGGGGTCGGGGGTCTTACACGGTGTCTTATATAGATCCGCCCTACTGTTGAGGTATTATTATTTTTTTAATGGGGTCTTACACAGTGAAATTTTGTTATGTACAAGTGGTTCAACGCAAAACGTCGGTGTCGGACGACCCCAGCCAGTACAAGTAGCTTCGCCCCTGAAAATATATATTTTCAGTAAAATTTATATATTTTTATTTATCCTGCTTTTTAAAAAATATAACACTTATTAATTAATGGAATATGTATTTTATTGACATGAAGATTTATTTCAAAATTATTAATATCTATATGTTATATATATCAGCTGGTATATTATACTGATGGGTTAATACAAAAATTAATGTGAATATCTATATATTAATGGATGGAAAATGGGAGTCTGACTTTGGATTGGGATATTGTTCTTATTTATTGCTAATTAAGTTCGTTTTGGTAAAGATTATTTTATTTATAATTTTATATCTTTGAAATCACAATAATGAATCTTCTACATTGACTTATCATAACTTTTAAATAAAAAGTAAATAAACATATATAAATGGATCGACGACTCATTATATTTTTGAATAGCAATTCTAGTAGTAGTGAGTGAAGTCCATTATAACAATAAAATTTGTGGAGAAAAATATGGCTATAATATTTTACAGCTTCATATGAGGCATTATTCTTTTACTAGTACAACACCCGTGTATTACACGGGTATTTGTTAAAAGAATATTCTTAATTTTTAAAATTAATGAGAAAATTATATTAAATTTAGTTTACTGTTTTACAAAAAAAATATACTACTATATATTTTAGAATGATATGTGTTACTTATGACTTACATGTGTTATATTATATCAGTTTTTATAACTTATATTATATAACTAATTGAAATATAAATATATTAGTTGATAAATAATTTTATTTTTCTAATTAATATTAAAAATAATTCTATTATTGTTACAAAGATAAATATAAATTATTTTTTTTTATACATACAATATGGATGTTAAATCGAAGCTCATCAAAAGAAGATTAATTTGATATATTACATATGTAAAACTGATAAAAAATACAAAAGTTATTAACTTTTAAAATATATATACAATTCAATAGTTATAATAATGAATGAATTAAAATTCAATTAATACTTGTAACATGACCATAAATAATCAACATATTTATGGTAATCCGAACCTAATTATTTTTGGTTTGGAATTAAATTAAAATTTACCCAAGCCTAATAACGAAGCATGTAATTTTGCCACATAGGATTTCGAAGCACCATAAACAGCCACGTAGGCTCAGCGCGTTCTGGATTAATATATAGGGAGGACACATAGGATTCCGAAGCACCATAAACAGCCACATAGACTCAGCGCGTTCTGGATTAATATATAGGGAGGATGTAGACAAATATATGTTAAATAAAATGGAATTAATCTGGGCGAAACCAGAAAATTAGTTGAGAGGGGCAAAAAACATGACATAATGAGTTCAAACCGATACCGAACTGATAACATAAGTCGGTTGAGTTCGGTTTATTTTCTCATCGTTTCGATTCGATTTTTTATTTTCAGTCATAAATTCCGCCCTAGCATCAGTAATAAAAAAAAAAGTTAAAGTCTTTTATATGGGCCAATTAAAATTGTAGAAGAATAATAATTAGTATACAAAATTAATAGTAAAATAAAAGAAGTGTTGAATCGTTAATTGACAATTGTGGACAAGTTGGTCTGGTGAGTGACGTTTAAAAACAAAAAATCAGGGGGTGCAATAATAAATTTTAAAAGGGAACAAATTAAAATTTGTAATATTAATAGTAAAAAAAATTAAAATTTAAGGGAGGCAATTGACCCTTATCACTACATGTAAATTCGCCCCTCGAATTAATTATCCCTTCAAGACTGCCAACTTTCACTAGGTACAACATGAAAAATTAATTAGTATATATCCTAGACTCCTAGTACATTGTACACTAATCAAGAGAAAAAAAAATTCTATTTAGGTGCCCATGAATATATATACAATTACCCTTTCTCCAACTTTATTCTTTTCTTCTTTCATTTTTCAAGGAAAAAGGGACAAATTGATGGTATTTGGAGGGAAAAGTGTTGAGATGAAGCTTTTCTTATTTATGTTCTTGATTGTGTTAGCTTTTTGTCTAGAATAAATTTGAGCACCAAAGGAATTTTCTTCTGCAAAAAGTTTTTTTTTTTTTTTTTTTTTTTTTTTTT